ATTTCACTGTTGATATTATGTGGGTATAAGGGTGGCATTTCACTATTGTTATGTGTGTTGGATATTATCTGGGTGGAGCGATAAGGGTGGCTATAGGAGAGATAAGGGTGGCTATAGGAGCGATAAGGGTGGCTATTGATATTGTCAGGGCAGAGGGATAAGGGAGGCTATAATAGGAGTGATAAGGGTGGCTATAGGAGAGATAAGGGTGGCTATAGGAGAGATAAGGGTGGCTATTATCAGGGATGATATGTGATGGGGTGGAGTTGTTGCGTTGGTAATTTTTATGTGATGTTGTGATTTTCCTTGTGTTTACTTTTATACCTTGTGTAATTTGTCTTGTTGTTGGTAAATTGATAACAATCTGATTTATGTTGAGATTGGGGGCCCGCGGCTATTGTCAGGCGGATTATGAAGAGAAATGTGGGTACGAGGTGCCGTGAGTAAATAATGATGATATTGGCACGTGAATTGTCCGTGCAGTTGTGATATGAAATGTGGGCACGAGGTTACATGATTAAATGATAATGATATTTGGCACGTGAGTTGTCCGTGCGGTTGTGATAGAGAAATTGGCACGATGTGCCGTGGAAATATGAAATTGGGCTGAGACTCGTACTTTATGATTTTGAAATAAGGTGTCACAGGGTGACTTTTATTCGAAAGATATTCATTTGAAGGAATTATATTTGAAAAGGATTTATTTGAAAGATATTTATTTGAAGGGAGTATATTCGAAATATATTTATTGAAAAGTATTATATCCTGAAGAGTATTATTTGAGAAGCATACAGACGAAAGATTTATATTTGAAGGACTTGATTTAATTGGGTGTACTTGTATTTATTATTTGTTGAGCAATATTAATGGTGTTCTTGTTGCCCTGTTGTGCATACCACTGGTTGATTTGTGTTGCCTTTATTGTTATTTATTTTCTATTACTTTGTATACTATATTGCACATGTTATTAGACTAGTGAGTGTCTTGACTGTACCTCGTCACTACTCCACTGAGGTTAGTCTTGATACTTACTGGGTATCAACCGTGGTGTACTCATACTACACTTCTGCACATTTCTGTGCAGAGCCAGGTATTGAAGATATCATACTCGGACAGAGTTAGAGTGGGATCGCAAGGATTCAAGGTAGAGGTGCTTGGTCGTCGCAGTTTCTTGGAGTCTTTCCATTTTATTGTACTGTTAATTATTATTCAAACAGTATTGAGTATTCGATCCTTGAGATCATTTCATGTATTCAGTTAGAGTTCGTGACTCAGTATTACCAGTCTTGGGAGGTTGTTTGTTGAATATTTTCGATGTTGGTTTCGACACTTGTATTAAATTATATGTTTTTAAAAAAATGGCTTGAAATATAATTATAATTGGCTTACCTAGTCGTGACACACATCTCCATGCCTTCGTTCAAAACATCAGCAGTCAAGTTCTCATACTCGTGAACATGTTCCATGATCGGCTTATCAGCAACCATCTGAAACTTGATCCACTTTCCAACCACATACTTCTTTTTTCTTGCGCCATCTGCACCATATTTCTTTTCCAAACTGTCCCATATGACTTTAGCAGATTTATAATTTACAAACAAATCAAAGAGAGGGTTAGTCATATGATGAGGCACTTGCTCCACCTCTAGAACCAAATTATTTGGAAAAGGCCCTAACTGATATTAGAAAGGCTATGGATACTTTTGCTGACCTCATGGCTATGCAGACCCAACAGAACCTTCAAGTTGGTATTCAGGCACTCCAACAAGGAGGGATGAGAGCACAGCGGTTGAGGACATGGCACAGTTGGCCATGAAATTTGTGAGACTTGAGCCGCCAGTTTTCACTGGTACATATCCCAGTGCAGACCCTCAGGACTTCTTGGAGGAAGTTGAGAAAGCTACTACTTTGCTAGGAGTTAAAGACTACCGGGTGGTTCGATTGGCGACCTGCCAGTTGAAAGATATTGTTGACCTCTAGTTCAAAGGGGTAGAGAAAAGTCGACCGGAGGATGCACCTCCAATGATTTGGGCAGAATTTAAGAAGATCTTCATTAAGAAGTGGTTACCACCAGGAGTGAGAGCCGCCCTTGAGATATTGTTTTAGACCTTAAAGAAGGATACCATGACTGTCCTTGAGTATAACATCAAATTCGAGAAGTTATCCCGTTATGCTCCCCACCCCATCCCCACCGAGGATGAGAAGATTAATTGCTTTGCTCGTGGCTTGATTCCAGGCATCAGAAAAGATACGACTGGTGGGAGAAGAAACACTACCTTTACTGACTTTGTTGATCTAGCAATGGATCTCGAGAGGATTCATCAGGAAGAGAGGGCAAACAGGGAGCAGAACAAAAAGGCCCGTACTTTTGGCACTTTCAATGCAGTGCCTAATTCGGGCAAGGGGTAAAGCATCAAAGGGCCATCTGGCCCACCGCAGTCTAGGATGCAGACAACTTCCAATAGCCCTCCAGTGGCATATAGTACTAGACAGGGAGGCCAGTCTAGGCCCGTTCAAAGTGACCATCGTACTGTACAGCATGCTCAAAGTAGTGTGGGTTCTCATCAGCATCGGTCTAGTGCTACCAGAGGACCCCGTGGTCCGTGCTATGGTTGCGGGTTGATGGATCATATCCAAAAGTTTTGCCCTAATGGTCAACAGGTTCGATAGCTCACTCGTCACCATGTATGGCTGCTACTTCGGTTGCACCGCCCCCACCTAAGGGTAATGGGGCCCACAATAGGTGTAATACAGGAAAGGTGCCGCATACACCTACTACTTCCCAGGGGACTCATCCTCGTTTCTATGCCATGCCTACTCGCCCTATTGCACAAGCTTTAGATATTGTCGTCACAGGTACACTTACCGTTTGTGCTCTAGATGCTTATGATATTATGGATCATAGATCTACTTTTTCCTATGTTACTCCGAACTTTGCAATGGATTTGGGATTTGATCCAGAACAACTACTTGAACCATTTTCTGTGTCGACTCCGGTGGGAGATTCTGTTATTGCCTCCCGCGTCTATAGGGATTGTGTAATTATAATTCAAGATCGAGAGACTACGGCAGGCCTCATTGAGTTAGAAATGATTGACTTTGATGCGATTATGGGAATAGATTGGTTATACAAGTATTACGCCATTCTTGATTGTCGTGCTAAAGTGGTCAATTTTGAGTTTCCAAATAAGCTAGTTCGTGAGTGGAAAGGCAATACTGCTGAGCCTCGAGGTAAATTTATTCCATACCTTAAGGCGAATAAGATGATCACGAAGGGATGTCTTTATCATTTAGTCAGAGTCATTGACACAACTGCAGAGGTGACAAGCATTTAGTTTGTGCCAATTGTTAACGAGTTTCCTGATGTTTTTCCTGATGAGATTCCGGGTATTCTACCAGATCGGGTTATCGACTTTGGGAAAGATGTGGTTCCAGATACGCAACTGATATTTATTCCCCCATACCGAATGGCTCCAGCCGAGTTAAGAGAATTGAAGGAGCAATTGAAAGATTTACTGGATAAAAGGTTTATTAGACCTAGTGTATCACCTTGGGATGCGCTAATATTGTTTGTGAAAAAGAAAGATGGTTCTTTGAGGATGTATATTGACTACAGGCAACTTAACAAAGTGACCATCAAGAATAGGTATCTATTACCTCGAATAGATGTCATGTTTGACCAGTTGCAAAGGGAGAAGTTCTTCTCGAAGATTGATTTAAGGTCGGGGGTATCATCAGTTGAAACTTCGAGAGAAGGATATTCTCAAAACGGCTTTTCGGACCCGCTACGAGCATTATGAATTTTAGGCGATTTCATTTGGGCTGACAAATGCACCGGCAACTTTTATGGATCTAATGAATTGGGTTTTCAAACCATTTCTTGACAAATTCGTGATTGTTTTCATTGATGACATATTAGTCTATTCGCGAAGTCAAGAGGAGCATGCCAATCATTTGAGAATAGTGTTGCAGACGCTTTTGAATAATGAGTTATATGCCAAATTTCTAAGTGTGAATTTTGGCTTGAATCCGTAGCATTCTTGGGTCATGTGGTAACTCGTGAAGGTATTAAGGTTAATCCTCAAAAGATTGAAGCGGTTAAGAGTTAGCCTAGATCAACTACACCGACAGAGATCCGCAGTTTCTTGGGATTAGCGGGCTACTATCGGCGGTTTGTTGAAGGATTTTCTACTCTTGCGTCTCCGTTAACCAAGATGACGCAGAAAGCAGCGGAGTTTCAGTAGTCGGATGCTTGTGAAAGAAGCTTTAATGAGTTGAAAGCTAGATTGACTACAATATCGGTGTTGACCTTGCCAACAGGTTCAGATGACTTTTTAGTGTATTGTGACGCCTCTAGAGTTGGTTTGGGTTGTGTCTTGATGCAGAAAGGTAAGATTATCGCTTATGCTTCTTACTAATTTTTTTTCCTTTGCTTTATGATTAAAAGAAATTAACAACAATATACCGAAGTATCGAATGCCCGCCCCTGCTGAGGTCCTCAGATGCTACAGTTTCTTTTATTGTTTTGGAAAAAGTTCTAATTTGTTTTTGTACTATTAAAAATTATTCCATTTTGGCTTATGTTTTAGAGTCATACGTTGCTACCTACACTGAAAAAGTATAATGTATATATACTGCACTTTTTATATCCGGATTTTCTTTTAATTTTTATATGCCTTCGTTTTTACAGAAGAATTGATGCGATGTTGATTCCTGTCCTATCAACAGTAAGACATAAAAAATCATGAAATAAAGAAAAAGGTACATCATAACGTAGGAAAGAATAAATAAAGTGTAACAAAAAGAGTATCTGATTATTTATTGATTACAAGGTTGGTGGAAATATGAATAAAATCAAGGAGCAAGGTGAGGATTATCAGCAGCGGGGTCAACATTAACCTTACTCCCTCCGGTCACTTTTTGGCTTTCTCACATCTATGTTAAAGAATTCACCTTTTAGTATTAATTAACAATAAAATTTATTATAATAATTCTAATTTGCTTATTGAAAATATAACAAACTATTCCTAGTTACTACAAGGACAACTTTGAAACGAAGAAATTAATTCTTTTTTGATATTTAAAAAAATCAAATATTGTGGATCACAAAACAAATATCAAAAATCACTTAAAGTGGAGCGGAGGGAGTATTATTATCATTAACTTCAACATAATCATCACCTTGAATTCGATCAAGCACAAGGGCCAATCCCATAGCAAAGGCAGCATCAAAACCAGGCTTGACATTTAAAGAAAAAACGTCTGTGCCAAGCACCACATTAGCACAAGCGTCCACTTTACGTCGAATTTCAACAACCGATTCTTTATCTGCATTGAAAAATTTGCAATTCCTCTGTGCAAATGACCCTTCTATCTGGTATTCTTCCACTGGATTATTGTTGTATACCTCTACTGTCACACTTGATCTTCCTATTAAGGAGGATCTTCGTACACTGAATATTGGTTTTTGCCCCTCCATTCTTTCTCCTATGTAGCCTTCCCATCTATGATGCAGACTTGGTCTCTGTTCCAAAAAGAAAAAATAATGAATTAAAATTTTAGATCAGTCTATGCCAACTGTATTTTTCTTTGGTTATAGCTCTAATTGTATTGTCTTTGATTATAGCCCTATAAATATAGTTGTAATAATATGATGTAAACTCTAGTTTAGGAGACTTATTTTCTCCAAAGCATAAGCGGATCTAGTGTAACAACTTGGCTGAAATCACTGGTAGATGAACCCCCGTTGCCACAGCCTAAAACCCTCTTTGTTTGAAGTAGAGAATTACTAATCCTGGCCACCGTTTGTAGTGCCCATAATGGTTTTATATCGACTATATACCTAGGGTTAGGGTTAGATTGTTTAATGGATCATCTTATTAGCTACCATCTACTAGGCCCAAAAGTCTAATTTTTTCAAACAATAGTTAAAAGGAAAAAATTCAAACATCCATGTTGGATAGTACAATTCCTCTATTAATATCAAATTGGCATCTACCAGTTCTGGCCTTTGGTTAGAATAAGTTTAAGTGCAGAGTTAAAAAATATTTTCTTTATGACTCGTGATGTTCTTTGACCACTTTTTTTTGTTAGTACGAGGAAAAATAAATCACGGACATGCAAAGAAAGAAAATTGATGATTTATTAGTACCTTTCGGCGAACAGTGAGAATGCATCTACCAGAGGCATCCATGAGAACGAGTTCGCCCTGGTCACGAGAGTCGGGGCCATAGGTGTCAACTCGGAAGACGAGTTGGCCTTTACAGTCATAAGCAGTAAATCCATCGCCGGTGAAGAAAAGGGAGGTCTTGAGAACTGTGAGATTAGTCTCTTCTTTGTACATGAATGTATCTTCTATAATAGCAGAGCCTTTACCCTTCATTTCTGGTTTAATTTACTTCTGTTTCTCTCTTGAATCGGAGCTTTTATTTATAGGATGATGGGATTCGTTCATTTCTCTTGAGATCAAAGATTGGTATTTAGACAAAAGAAAGAGATGACGTTCATACACTTAAAAAGTAGTCAAAGATAGAAAGAGAGGAGGAATTAATGGGAGAGAACTTTCGGGTTGAAGATATAGTATTTAATTTCTCTTGAGTTATGTTCTATAATTTGGAATCTCTAAGGTAAATATTAAAGAATCTGATTCGATTACGTTTAGAAAAAGTTAGTCCTACGCCTGATTCACCATGAACGTCACTAGGAATATTTAACAAAACTTTAAAACATAGATATTGCACGACCCCAAAATCCAACTAGCCGTGATGCCACCTAACCCAACCCGTTAGGTAAGCCAATTTACAAATATCTGATTCAAATAATATTTAACTGACCCTATTAAACTCCCCAAGGACTAGTAGTATAACCCATGAGCTTCTAAGAATATAATTTACAAAACTGGTATGAAATAATACATAATCTGTTCGAAATGTACATGAACAGATTGTTATAAATCTAAGGCTACCATGAACAAGAGGCAGCTACAACCGGAACGCAAGTACATCTTCAGATCCAGCTCCCAACGAACACAGCAATATCAGCAACCAACATCTGCACGCAAGGTGCATAAGTGTAGTATGAGTACAACCGACCACATGTACTCAATAAGTAACAAACCTAACCTTATGTTGAAAGTAGTGACAAGCTTGCACCAAGGTCAGAGTCCACTCCAATAACCAATAATATCTTATAACAATACAATTTAAAGCAGCACAAGTAATAACTCAATAATAGAATGCTCAGCTCGTATACAATTCCGAAAAATAAACATTTTCTTTTCAAGTATAAAAGTAAAACTCAAATCCTTTTCCGAAAATCACCGAAAATATGAGTAAGTCTGAAAACTATGATTTTTTCAAAAATTCCTTTCAACAATAAATAAGATGTTTCGTTTTCTTTTCACGTAGCCAGTGAAAAATACATCACTATGCCCATATGCCAATATGTGTGAGAAGTCACGAATGACGTGATATCGTACAGCATGAGAAAAATGCATCTCTATGCATGTATGTCAAATGTGCATGTCAATGCGATGCACCTCAGTGATAAAACCATATGCATACTCTCAGAGTATCATTTCACTCAGTCCTCCCAGACACTCAATCCTCACAGTCACTCAATCCTCACAGTCACTCAGCCCTCCCAGTTACTCAATCCTCACAGTCACTCAGCTCTCCAGTCACTCAATCCTCACAGTCACTCAATCCTTCCAAGTCACTCGGCACTCGCGCTCGGCACTCGTACTCAGTAGGTACCTGCGCTCACTAAGGGTGTGTACAGACTCCGGAGGGGCTCCTTCAGCCCAAGTGCTATAACAAAGCCAATCATGGCATAAATCAGTCGCTCATGCTGCGGCGTGTAGCCCGATCCCATAAATAATAATATATATAGCCAATATGGCCTGCTCCGGCGTATAACCCGATCCCATAATCATCCTCACAATCAGGCCATTGGCCTTACTCAGTCATCAATCTCTCCAGTCTCTCGGGCTCACAATGTCATGAAAATCAGCCCAAAAATAATGATACGATGAATCAATAAATAGCAACAGAGACTGAGAGATAATATGAAATGAATGAACATGAATGAGTTTCAAATTTCAATTTAAACAAATTCAACAACAATATGACCTATGTGGGTCTCAATAATACTGGCATATAGCCTCAACATGATTTTTAGCTCAATAGCTCTAGTACGTAGAGATTTTCATGATTTCAGATAAGTTCAGGTAACTACACAGTATCACAGGATTAACGAAATCACAATTCACACGGTGCACGCCCACACGCCCATCATCTAGTATGTGTCACCTCAACACCAAACACATAACATGTATAATTCAGGGTTTATACCCTCAACTCCAAGATTAGAAGAGTTACTTACCTCAATCCGAGCAAATTTTTTATTCCAATAAACCTTTTCCTCGTGATTCGGCCTCCGAACGCCTCGAATATTAATCAAAACAATTCGATACAATCAACACGAGGTATAGGAATCAATTCCATATGAAAATACTAAATTTCACAATAAAAATCCGAAATTAATTCAAAAGTCAACAGTGGGGTCTACGTCTCGGAATCCGACAAAAGTTATAAAATATGAACGCCCATTCAACCACGAGTCCAAACATAAAAAAATTACTAAATTCCGACTCCGATTCGGCCTTCAAACCCTCAAATTAATTTTTGACAAATTTCTATTCCAATCCCCCAAATCATGAAATAAGTACTTGAAATAATGTTAGGTTCATGAATAACGGACCAAATCAAGTTAAGATCACTTACCCCAATCCAATTTGTAAAGTTTGCCTCTGAAAATCGCCCAAACCGAGCTCCCCAACTATGTTTATGTCAAAAATAGTCAAAAACCCTGTTTATAGAGCCTCTGGTATTTTCGAGCACCACAGGTAGCGTGGGGCGCTGCCTCTGGCGCACTTTCCAGAATCCCAACAATTCCCAGTGTCAGGGCTAGCGCCCCACGCTACCCTGGGCGCTCGCAGCGACGGGAAATCTTTTTCGACATGGAAATATGCATAACTCTCTCATACGATATTCGAATTCGACGATTCTTTTTGCTATGGCTCCGTAATTTTAATATGGAACTAATGCATCAATCAAAACCAAATTCGGAGCTCATTTTCTTAATGTGATACTACTTATGCTTGAAGAAACAACGTCAGAACATTCTACATTCGATGACGAAGCCTATCAAATCAAGTCCGATTGACCTCAAATTTTTGCACACAAGTCATAAATGATATAACAGACCTATTTTAAATTTTCAGCATCGGATTTCGACCCCGATATTAAAAGGTCAACTCCCGGTCAAAATTTCAACTTTTAATTTTCCTATTTTCGCTATTTCAAGCCTAATTTGACTACGAACTTCCAAATAATTTTTTGGTCACGCTCCTAAGTCCAAAATTACCATATAAAACTGTTAGAATCATCAAAACTCTATTCCGGAGTCGTTTGCATAAAAGTCAAACCCCGGTCAACCCTTTTTTATTTAAGCTTCCAACATGAAATTCATTCTTCCGAACTAATCCCGAAAGACCTGAAAAATCAAAACCGACAATTCACACACGTCATAATATATCATATGAAGCTATTCAAGACTTCAAATAGTAGAAAGGAGAATAATTACTCAAAACGACAAGTCGAATCGTTACAGATTCTCTTGAAAAACTAATGCAAAGTTATAATAGGAAACTAAAATTATTTAGAACTTGGTATTTACAAGTTTATTTAGTTCTGTTTCATTAGGATTTGAAGTCAAATTAATATAGGAATATATTTTTCTATTTCTAGTTAAAATAGGCCTCGCACTATTATAAATAACGGTATTGTTAGCTTATTTTATGTGTAGAAGAGAAATAAAGAATTATAGAGATCTTTCAAGAGATTTATAATAAAATATTTTTCTTAAAATTGATATTAGAGCCAGCAATCTCCACCACCAAATGATGTGAGTTTTTTTTTGGTATGGCATTAAATACATTCCGTTGGATTCTCCTCACATATTCGCAAGAGATAATTATCAATTATGGGTTGCAAAAAAGTACGGAGATTTGTGGAGAACTGTAGAGATCATTTAAAGATTTATTATAAAATATTTCTCCTTCAAATACTCTTACACAGATTCAAGACTTTAACTCAAGAATTACCGCCTTTGACTTTGTCAATGCTAGAACTCGCTGCCTATGTGCGTGCCTTGGCTTGAATCAGGCGTCAACGCCTTGTTCTCAGGTGCATTCTAGCCGCATTTAGCCCATGCCATTGCCCACGCACATGGCCCTTTGCCGCGCCCCAATGTCATGACAAGTCTGCCTCGCGCGCATGCCTTCGTTGCACGTAGCCTGCCTTTGTCCAGTCCGTTTTTGCCTTGCCTTGGCATCATGGCCCCATGCTTTGATGCCTTTGCCATGCTCAAGTGTCACCCTTAGCCCGCATCGCATTGTCAAGCCCTTGCCAAGCTGCCTTGCCTCCCTCAAAGCCTTGTCCATCACTTGCTTATTTCCCTTTTTGCCTTGGTGCTAGCTTGTGCACCTTAGCTTGGCAACACTTATGCTGCCCCATGACAACACTCTCGTTGTCAAGTCAAGCTCAAAGAGGCGGACCCCTAACACTTGCCATGGTGGACTTCCCCTAAAAATAGGGACAATTGTTTCTATTTTGCTAACGGTAAGGCTTTAAATGGACCAATAGTATAATGGAGGTTAAAAGTATATTATTTATCAAAGTAAAGGGGTAAAACAGACCCTTTTCTCTTAAATTTTAATAGTATTTTGCATCTATTAACTTAAAATTGTAGATCCATCTATGCCAATTGTATTTTTCTTTAGTTATAGCTCTAATTGTGTTTCTTTGATGATAGATCTATAAATATAGTTGTAATAATATGATGTAAACGCTAATTTAGGAGACTTATTTTCTCCAAAGCATAAACGGATCGAGTGCAACAACTTGGCTCGAATCACTGGTTGTCGGGAATACTCACGTGGTGAATGAACCTTCTATTGCCACATCCTAAAATCTTCTTTGTTTGAAGCAGAGAACTACTAACCCTGTCCAGCGTTTATTGTGTTTTCATCTCCAAACACTCATAATGGTGTTTATATGTACTATATACCTAGGGTTAGGGTTAAATTGCCTAATGGGTCATCTTATTACTCCCTCCATCTCAAATTATCTGTCGTATTTTTATTTTACATGTCCCTTAAAAAATATTAAATAGAAAAGGTTTTTGACTATTTTACACTTATTTATGTCTTAAGATATAATCTCTTCACTTAATACTTACTCATAATTGAGGTGTTTGTCATCTTTAAGGAAATTTATTACTAAGGGTAAAAAAGAAAAAAATAATTAATTTTATCTTGAATTTCTAAAATGACAAATAATTTGAGACAATTATTTTTAGTAATCACGAGTGATAATATGAGATGAAGAGAGCTGTTAGCACC